TGACGGACAGAACGATGGAGTAAAGGATGCTTGGTGTGTCTCTCAGCGGCCGTATGTACAACCAGGTTTTTCGCCAGACTAGCAGCTTACCGGATATGCTGCGACGACAAGTAAACGAGCAATTGAGCCGTTACTTACTCTCCTTGATTAAACTTAATTAATTCCACGGAAAATCAGCAATTAACTAGAAATTTTTTCAGCACAATTTAAAGCAATCTGAATCTCGGCAAAAGCGCGAAATGATGGTACGGGTACCCGTGAAAGCAGTATTTAAGTTTACACCGTTGTGAATTACAATTGTTTTTTCCATTTTGAATTCTCATTGTTTGCTTCTACATTTCTGTAGCACTGCTCAAGACATGTTAGGTCAATATAAATGTTTTTTTGAATGCTTATGGGAATTTAGCCCATGAAAAGCCATGAATGATAAGCAAAAAAAGTTTAAAGTGTTCTTTCCCAGGATATCTCCATCACTCAACAAATTAACACGAGAAAGCATTCTCTCAACGTAGCAACATTTCATCTGACTAGAAAACCAACGAGAGACAGTAGCATTTATAGCTATGACATTCACGGACATTCTAGTAACACCCATCCATAACAGCTCCTTTTGCATCCAGTCTGGCAAACTCTCCCTGGCCCAAACTTGAAACATTCTAAATAAATGGCCAGCGCACCGACTGCCGGTACGAAGATGCATTTTTTGCATAGCTTTCCCGCAGATTTTTGTCGCGAACGTTTTCCGGTAGATACTTCTAGCTAAACGAATTTGAAACTGACCGTCAGGAAACATCCTTTTAAAATTTCAGCTTCCCAGCTTTCCTGGTTCCCAAGTTAGCAACTTACCCAAAAAAAAACTTTCACTGGCCGGTATGTGGGAATCACCCATACACCGGGCGCTGGGTCTGAGCTCATTACTACCTACTGGACGGTGAACATCCCCTTAAAGTTCCAGTCTTCTAGCTTTTCAGGTTCCCGAATTAGCAACTTATCTGAAAAAAACTTTGGTGCGCCGCACTTGGCTGCCACATGGGTAAGGACGCCCATTTTAAGGATGGGGCCCATACATGCACGCAGACGAAGTTTCCAAAGTTTCAGCCTTGTAGCTTTTGTAGGTCTCGAGATGCAAAATCGGTACAAACGAACACACAGACACAAACA